TAATGAATTCAGATTATAATTATATTTACCAATTGTATCTTTTAGTCATATGAGATTTTTGAATGTCTATAGACCTCTAGAATAATCATCATACCGTGAAAGTCAATAAAACTTCGCAGGTATAGCGATTAAGATTTCTATGTTTAAAAATACGAATTGTATAATTATGTATTAAAATATATAATATTTAATCCTTTATGGTGTGAGGATTTTGAATCTCCATAGATATTTAGGATAATATTATTACCATAAAAATCAATAAGGCTTTGCAGGTATAATGATTAAGAGTCTTTTAAAAAAAAGTATATATGTATGAATGCACTAAAAAAATAATGATATTATTAATATTTAAAAATTTAAGTAAATAAACTAAGTTGTTAAACTCTTTTATCGTGTGAGAGTTTAGATTCTCCACAGATATAAAGAATAATTGTATTACCATATGAGCCATTAAGGCTCTGCAGGTATAGCAGTTAAATTCTCAATATAAAATATAAAAAAATAAAAATAAAAATAATTCTTAAACTCTTTTCTTTTCTTTATTCCAAAAATTTAAAAATAGAGAAAATAATTAATTAAAACACACATATCAAAATTTTAGAAAATTATTTATTTGCAAAATGGTGAATTATTTCTGATTAATTTCTCTTCAAAAAAATATTTTCACTAACAAACTTATTAGCCCGAACTACGTGGACTTTGATCCCTACTACAGGGTACGTAGGCTTCAGAGTTGAATTTTGAGTCAAGTCTTCCCTTGTAAATAAATAAATATCTCTCACTTAATTCTTATCATTTTATATCAAACACAAGAATATAAAAGAGATAATTAAAATAATTTTAAAACTATATTTATATAGCACAAACAAGTAATCGTTCTTACGAACGGGTGTTATGGGGTGCCTAATACCTTTTCCACACTCAATCAACTCCCGAACCTATTTTCTGTTTTCGCAGACCACCCTTATCTTTCTTTAATCGGTTTCCCGAGATTTTTCTTAAATCTTGGTGGCGACTCCTATTTCTTTGGTCTTCTTTTCGAAGGCCAGGACCTTCGCTCTCACGCTGTTCAGGTCGCATTTTCTGGTGCGACAATGATCAACCAACTTTATACCCTTCTTATTTCCTCCGACTGAAACCGTAAGCTATAACATTGAATAGGGCTTCGTTCGTGTGATCGAACTATTCAGGCTTACCAATCGTGAGGTGTGACCCTGCTAAAGATCATATGACTCACTCTCAAATCATGGCTTCCCCCACTCTTAAATCCCTAGGGTGTCGTATTCCTAAACTATTCTTCTTAATAAACTAGTAGAGAAGGTTAGGTTTTAGTCCCTCAACAAACTGTGGGACAAGGCTATACCTCTGTGCACTGGAGGGCAGCTTAAATATTATATGAATTTTTCTCTACTTCCAATCTCTAAGCAAACTCCCACCCAGTGATCATACCATAGACGATGCTTACTCAATGGTTCACAATATCAATTTTTCAATATCAAAATCATCATGTTGGGCTCACGACCATGTGCTACCCAAATGAGTATTAATTAGTATTTTCACTTACATCACATGAAACCCATTATTTTCAATCTCATATATTCATCTTATCAATCTCATTATCAATTACTCATCCAAACCATATTATAAAAATACAAATTACTTCACAATCATTTTTCACATGTTTAATACACATCAAAGCAATTATGTAAACACCAAATTTCATTGCATGTTACGCCATTCACAAGTTACAATTTGCATGTTAAACACATAATTCACCTCATATTTCAATTAATAAACAACTACTCAAGGTAGGGTTTCCTAGTTACCTCAAACATTTGAGAGGTCAAGGGTTTACCCTTCAATATTAAGCTTCCAACTTGATTTTCAAGTCAATTTAGTGTCCAAGAGCTTAATCGACAGTTAACTAAGTTAATCTCCATTAACATTGCTAAACACAAGTATTCAACTCTCATTTCTCCACTTCTAACTTGCCCTATGCCCACTTTATATGAGTTTGAGCCTATCCATTGAGTTTATTAACTCTCTTAAGTCCCCATTAACATTAATGAGTCACTAAACTCTCATTAATGGCATTTTACCTCTTCCAACAACCCTCATAAATACCAAAATTCATTAGCTCTATCTTCAGACGCTCAAATCTATTTCCGTTAGCTCCATTTGAGTCAATAAATTTAGACCTATAAACTCATAAATGTGGAAGAGATAGGAAGATTAATGAGTGTCATACTTACCTTTGGTGATTGTAGCTTCTAAAATACACCCAATGTTGTCTAAGAATGAAGCCTAGTAGAGCGTGGCACGCCTTCCTCGTTTTCTTCTTTCTCTCCTTTCTATTTCCATCTTAATTTGCAACTAATATGTTATAGAAAATGGCTGTGCGCTACAGCAAACGCTGCACACGCCTCGACACATGGCATAAAGAGGCTCCTTTCTCGCATCAGTTATGTTTGTGCACCGCAATGTACGTGATTCACATCATGGGTTGTGGCACAGCAACAATAGCCCTTTATTTCCTTTTCCTTCCAATGCCTGTGTGACCCGACTTGATATCGGACTCACGATTTAGGTTGAAACACAAACAATATGATCATCAGACTCTTGGCCACACACCACTACAATTTACTTAATTATCCTAATTAGGTTTAGTAAAATAGGGAATTAAAAACCAGGATGTTACACATGATCGGAAGACCTAATTGAAATAAATTTTTGGTGGGGAATGACAAATTGCCCTAATGTTTTCAAAAGATATTGCGGACTTAACAAGTAACATAAATAAATTAACAAGTAATTTCAGCGATTTTATAAGTAAGGTTAATAATTTAAATCATTCAAGAAGGATGTTTTAATCATTTTATTTTATCATTTCATTTCATTTCATTTTAGTTCCAAAATCTTATAATGTAATTTCAAAATTTTCTAGCCTAATTTATAAATCACTAATATGTTGTAGAAAATTTTCTAGCCACCTTCCTTTGTCTCAACTGGCAATGGACCTACATATTATTGAGGGTGGGAAAATACCTGCTTTATTTGAAAAAAATTACATACACATTTGTAAATTTTTGAAAATTTGTATTTATTATTCCAAAATTTTAGAACCTAGTAGACTTAAAATAGAATATATTTGAATTCTAAAAAATTTTAAGCCTTGATATTTCAGTTAAGCTTGATGGACTTTAAGTTCTGAACATATTAAATTTAAAATAATTATTATAATAATTATTATTATTATTATTATTATTATTATTTGTATAAATTTATATTATTTTTCAATAGAAAAATGATAGTATTTATTATTTTTTATTTTTACATTTCACACCTCACTGGTCCTTCCATTGGCCGCCGCTCAAGATAAAACAAATAATCGTAGTGTGCCAAAAATAGAAGAAAACAAATAATTATAAAAATGCACGTCCACATCCAATCACGTGGAGCTGTGTATGGCTGGAGATTTCTCCACCTCTCTCACAAGTCGCATATGTCAATCTCTGTGCATATGTACGTAGCTCTTTCTCTCTGGCTAGATATTATATACATATATACATAGATACATATATATATATATATATATATAAGTATAACTATTTCAAATTAAAAGTCATTTTCTGCATTTATACGCTTTTTTTTTGCCCAAGTATTGATTCAAAATATGACACGTTAGACGGGCAGGGAACACGTTAGTCCAAGAGTTGTTCCCTTCTTCCCTATTGCAAAGAGGCAAACTTTATATTCCGGGCGTTAGAGTATATTTCTGGCATTAGAGCCATTAATTCAGGTAAGTGAGGTTTAATTGAATTTATTTAAAGTAGGTTTAAAATATGTTGCATTATTAAAAATGCTCATACAACCAAACTTAACTTTAATTTTTTTTTTGGCAAGGTTTGTTTGACCTGTTAGATTTGGCCCAACCTGTTAGTATATAATTTGTCATTTATAAATTATGAGGCTTCAATCTCTCTTTCTTATTTTTCTCCATGAGCAAAGCACTGTATAAACTTTTAAATATTAATAAAGTATTATTAAATATTGATAAATTAAATTTAATTTTTTTAATTACCATAATTAGTAATAGTATAAAAAAGTCATCTTTTAAGGCTAACAATATTAGGATTAGGAGACTGAAAATATATTTTATAAAATTAATGAACCAAACTAAAATTTCATAAAAAGTTGAAGAATGAAATATATATTTTTGCCTAATTATTTATATATAAAAGGAAATTAAACCAACAAAAATGGGTTCGATTAATAAAGATTTAGCTCGTATTCCTCTAGTTTATAGAGTATATATAAAAAATTAATTAATTTAAGTATTATTTTTAGTGAGGCTTAATTCACCAAAAATTTTCATTAAAAAAAATTTAGCCTTTTCACAAAAAAAAAGATACGTCTCGTGTCCCGTGTCGCCAACAAAATAAGAAAAATAATCCGATTATTCACGTAATAAGGTCTTCTCCTGATTTTCTTTTTCCAAATACTCTTTTATCTCCTAAATTTCCTCACCCACTAATAAATTTCTATGTATTCATCGTTCATCAAAATTCATCTTCTCTGTAATTCGTGCAATTCAAAAGCTGACGTCCCTGAGTTCATAGAAAGTTCGATCAGGCAATCCTAAAACTAGATTCCGATCATTTAACTGCAAACAAATATTGTGTTTATATATTGGATTATCTTATAATAAATTGTGCTTTAATTTTCATGCTGGAAAAAAAACCTAGCTAGCAGCAGTTTCAGAAAACAAAGAAAAAAATTGTTTCTGGGTTATTATATATTAACGTGATTACGTAAATACATAATTTTAGGTTTTCATCGATGCGATGTAATCTTGATCACTTTGGCGGATTATTCTCTCATCATCAGTTTCTCACGTGACATCCCGATCATCTATCCTCTCTCTCTCTCTCTCTCTCTCTCTCTCTCACATGTTGAAAGCAAGTTACCCCATATAAATACTAAACATCCTCGGGACACAGACACACTGTATTTCTCTTTCACTTCTTCCTCCTCCTCCTCCTCCTTTGTCTCTGAAACTCCGCATTTTCTTCAACATATATACTTAATATAGTTTCTTCCTCTGTGCTCTCAAAAGCCATCTGAACCAGACACACACATCTATAGTCATATTTCTATCTTCACATATATGTACGTGTGCAGTGTAAGAATATATACTTGTGCTCTGTGAGTAGAGAAGAGCACGTGGAAATTAAAGAGACCAATTTGATTTCAGCTTCAATCATGCTTTGGGGGAACATTTCCAACAAGGTTTTAAGTGCTTCAAGTAAGTTCAGATATGATTATTACGATGGATCAGTTCATTATCACAAACATGTTTCATATTCTTCTGATTATAATATATATAGTATCAGTTTCAGACATCTGGTGCGTGAGTGCCATAATATTCATTTGTTTTATTTGAGCAAATGTATTGTGTTTAATTTTTGTTTATTTTCTTTCTTTCTTTCCACTTTCTTGTTGAAGTTCAATGAGTGTTTGATTTGTGTCTTCTTTTGTATATGTGGTTGAGTTTGGTTAATTTTTCTGCTTGGCTCTGGGCTTTTCATTGAACTACTTATTCTGCTTATAGTCTCTTGAGTAATAATATTATTAATACAACAATTCTTTTTTATTTTTTAATTTCTAGTAGGTCTTGTCTTCATCAATGGTTGGAATAAAATTAGTGGCTAGTCATTTTCCAATGGGAGCAGTACTGTGAATGTTTCTATTAAAGCATTCTAATCATTTGATTGCTAAAGTGACCTTTCAGTTTCATGTACAGAACTTAATCCTGATAAAAACTATTGCAAGTTGAATAACTTCACTAAAACAATTGTAAAGCTTCGTCAGCCTTTCAATAAATTAATTATAAAATATTGCTGCTAAACATCAGTCTTATGGGCAAAGAAACTGTCCAATATTACCATAGCACTGAATACCAAACAATGTGACCGATTGAATTAGTAAATTATTAAACTAGTGACTCTGTCGGTTTAATATAATGTTTTTATTTATAACAAGTCTAATCACGATTGAATCATAATTTTGACCATTAATCTTTGAATCAGCATCTTAAATGAGTTAATAACTGGTTTATTTTTTATGTATGTTCAATACCTCAAGTTTATTGTCAATATCAAAGACATATTAGTCTATAAATTATAAAACTTCAGTAAATATTCTTTGAGCTAAAAATCCTTCTCTGGTACTTGAATTCCATTTAATTTATTAAAACTTCCTTTCATAAAAAGAATGCAAAATACTACATACATACATGCATATATCCACACGCATAAAAAATACCACATGATCCTACTTTTGCTTTAAACTCCTCTTTCGATGCCAACCGAACATTCCACTCACACCATGACCATACTAATAATTAATGACCCATTCAATGATTTCTATATATATATTATCAAAGCATTAATTTCACTTTCTACAGGTCATGATCAAGTTTTAATATATATGTTCCATTAATTGTCCTAGCAAGAACTCTGCACAGTGGGCTCTACGTGTCCTGCCCCACCTGTCACCGTTGGTGTTGTTTTGCGAGGGATTCATGTGGCTGCCTCTTGTGGAATAGTTTATTCATTGTGATAAAAAAAAAAAAAAAAGAAAAAGAAAAAGAAAAAGAAAAATTGTACTCCTACCTCTGCCGCGTATCCTTCATTTGGATGGAAAGGCAAAGCAAAAGCAAAATAGAATTCTCTAAAAATGAAATGATATAACCTGTTGTGCTTTCATATGTTTTGTCTTTTTGCTTGGTATTTGAATCTGGACAAATGTATATATCTGCAATATGATAAACATTAAATGTGTGGTTTAGAAGCCAAACTTAGTGCGTATGAGCTGTGCAGTCATCATGTGATATAGATTCAGGATGGGGCATAATCTTTTATATTATTTTTTTAATTAAAAATGTAATAATAAAAATAATAGAAGTTTAAAATACAAACTTTACATTTTTCAAAGGTGAAAATAATGGTTTTTGTGTCCACAGGACAAAGCAGTAATCATCATGCCTCCTTGAGCTTACTTTGATGACCGCATGTCTGTTTTGGAGTGGTGGATTTCTTGGAAGCTGTTTATATGTTTGAGATTTTTGTTCCTGAAATTAAAAAAAAAAAAAAGAACAGTTTGATTTATTAACGTAGGGTGATCATTATTACATAACGTAACTTGCCACAGTGGGAAATGAAACGTTATTCAAGATTTGCTGCAGAGACGGACTTTTGAAAAGATTTTCTGATATCTTGAGCTTATCACTGTTCAAGCGTTTTGAAAATTTTTGTTACTATGAGAAGAGGTAGAAAAAGATCAAAGAGAACATTTAAAAACTGTTGACTGAAACATTTTGATTAATAATATATCTAAAGGCTTGTTATTAATGGAGTATAATAGCATTATGTAATTCATGCAATCAATCCTATCTAGTGGGATAACGCTGCTTGTTGTTTTTGCAAAGGAGTTGTGACTATCTGTCTTTATTTTGCTGAATTTATCTTAATAGTTAAACTCCTTTTTATAGAATCATGCTAATCATAGCTTTAATCTTATTTTTCAGTTTCAATACTGTAACACCTATCTCTTCAATGCTGTACTTCAGGTCTAACATTAGCTTTAGTCCTATGTTTCAATTTCCATACTGTAACACCTATCTCTTTAATGTTGTATTTCAGGTCTAACATTATACTCACCATGCATGTTGGAGCATGTAATGCTGCCAGTGGGAATTGGGTTTTTATCAATATGGTTGATCCAAGTGCTAAAGGAAGGTCTGGAACTAATCAGGAAGAAGAGAAACAAGGTCTCAGAGCAGGACAAAGAGATTCATCCCAATGTACTGAAGTATGGTTTGGCTTACAAAACCTGTATATTGTGCTGTGCTTTAATGCCTGCAGTTCATGTCTCGTTGCTTCTGGTGATGGTCAAAGGTGAGACTCAGTGCAACTCAAAACCTGTGGCTTTTACGTCAGAGACATTTCTGGTATTAGCATGGGCAATCACATTGATATCAGTGTTTAAGATGCCAAAATTCAATGTTAAGTTCCCTTGGATGCTAAGATCATGGTGGGTTTGCAGCTTCTTTTTGTGTATCATCAACTTAGTCTTTCATAGCCATTTTATCAGCAAACAGAAACAGATTGGGTTGAGGGAATATGCAGATTTGGTTGGTCTGCTTGCTTCAACAGTTCTACTAGGGATTGCAATAAGGGGAAGAACGGGGATTGTGTTGATTGCTACAGACGGCATCTCTGAGCCACTTTTGAGTGAGAAAAGTGGCAAGGATTCAGAATCATCCAAAAGGGAATCTTTATATGGGAAATCCACTTTCATTCAACTTATTACCTTCTCATGGCTTAATCCCTTGTTTGCAGTAGGGTATAAGAAAGCCCTTGAACAAAGTGACATTCCTGAGGTTGCTATTGAGGATTCTGCAGAATTTCTGTCTTCATCCTTTGATGAGAGCCTTAGAAAAGTCAAGGAGGCTGATGGGACCACAAATCCATCTGTCTACAAGGCAATTTATCTATTTGCTAGTAAGAAGACTCTGATCAATGCATGCTTTGCAGTAGCAAGTGCTGCAGCATCATATGTTGGCCCATACCTGATCACTGACTTCGTGAGTTTCCTAGCAGAGAAGGGAAGCCGTGGGTTGAATGAAGGATTCTTGTTGTCATTTGGATTCTTATGCGCCAAGATGATTGAGACAATAACTCAGAGGCAATGGATTTTCGGTGCTCGCCAAGCAGGTCTTCGCCTTAGAGTGGCATTGATATCACACATATACAAGAAGGGCTTAAATCTGTCCAGCAGATCGCGCCAGAGTCACAGCGGTGGTGAGATTATGAACTATATGAGTGTAGATGTGCAGAGAATAACAGATTTCATGTATTACATCAATGTCATATGGATGCTTCCCGTGCAAATTACCTTGGCAGTCTATATTTTGCACATGAATCTTGGTTTGGGTTCATTGGCTGCACTAGCTGCTACTCTGACGGTTATGGGCTTCAACATACCTCTTACAAGAATACAGAAAAGATACCAAGCTAAGATCATGGAGGCTAAGGATAGTAGGATGAAAGCCACATCAGAAGTCCTTAGAAACATAAAGACTTTGAAACTTCAAGCTTGGGATACTGAATTTCAGCACAGGTTAGAAGAACTGAGGGAAACAGAATCCATCTGGTTATGGAAGTCATTAAGACAAGGAGCATACTCTGCTTTTATCTTCTGGGGATCACCCACATTTATTTCTTTGGTAACCTTCTGGGTTTGTATCTTGATGGGGATTGAACTAACAGCTGGGAGAGTTTTATCTGCATTCGCCACATTTCGGATGTTACAGGATCCTATATTTAACTTACCAGATTTACTCAATGTCATTGCTCAAGGGAAAGTTTCAGTGGATAGAATTGCTTCTTATCTTAGGGAAGAAGAAGTTCAACATGACGCCATTGAGTATGTGCCAGGGGACCAAACAGAGTTTGATATAGTTATTGAAAATGGAAGATTCAGCTGGGATTCTGAGACAAGCAATCCAACCCTTGATGGAATAGATTTAAGAGTCAAAAGAGGAATGAAGGTGGCAATTTGTGGGACTGTAGGTTCTGGAAAGTCTAGTCTGCTTTCTGGCATTTTGGGTGAATTGTATAAGCAGTCTGGGACTGTGAAGATCAGTGGAACAAAAGCTTATGTTCCACAATCACCATGGATATTGACTGGAAATTTTAGGGACAATATTACCTTCGGAAAGGAATTCAATAGTGTCAAGTATGAGAAGACTATTGAAGCATGTGCATTGATAAAGGACTATGAGCTATTCTCCTGCGGAGACCTCACACAGATTGGAGAAAGAGGGATCAATATGAGCGGAGGACAGAAGCAAAGGATTCAAATTGCTCGTTCAGTTTATCAAGATGCTGATATATATCTTTTTGATGACCCTTTTAGTGCTGTTGATGCTCATACTGGAAGCCACCTCTTTAAAGTCAGAATTATTCTTTACATTTATATATCAAATTAGCACAGTCCAGTAAGTAATATTTCATATTTTCTGCAGGAGTGCCTTATGGGGGTTCTCAGAGAAAAAACTATACTTTATGTTACCCACCAAGTTGAATTTCTTCCAGCAGCAGACCTTATTCTGGTATGTGCAGAGTGATAGGAATATAGAAATTTATTTATTGAACTGTTCCTCAGAAATCAATTCAACTTCATATAACATATAATACAACTTGAAACAGGTGATGCAGAATGGAAGGATTGCACAATCTGGAACCTTTGAAGAACTTCTAAAGCAAAATATTGGATTTGAAGTTTTAGTTGGAGCTCATAGCCAAGCTCTAGAGTCAATTCTCACGGTTGAGAATTCAAGCAGAGCATCCCAAAACCCCACACCTGAAGTTGAACCTAACATCAATTCTCAGTCAAATGCAGAACTTGCTCAAATTCAACATAACACAGAGCAAGGAAGTCCCCCAGAGATCAAAGAAAAGGAAGGACAACTTATTCAAGATGAAGAAAGAGAAAGAGGAAGCATTTCAAGAGAAGTTTACTGGACCTACTTGACCACTGTCAAAGGAGGTGCCCTTGTTCCATTCATTCTTTTGGCTCAATCTTCATTCCAAGTACTTCAGGTTGCCAGTAACTATTGGATGGCTTGGGTTTGCCCTACATCAAGTGATGCTAAGCCTACATTTGACATGGATTTCATACTACTTGTTTATATGGCACTTTCAGTTGGTAGTTCATTTTGTGTGCTCATAAGAGCCATACTAGTGGCAAAAGCTGGACTTTGGACTGCACAGAAACTATTCATCAACATGTTGCATAGTGTAGTTCGAGCACCAATGTCATTTTTTGATTCAACTCCAAATGGCAGAATTTTGAACAGGGTAATATGAGCAGTTTCTTATTTTTATTTCTTATTTTATCATCTATTTTTTTGTTTAAATGTATTATGATATAGAGCAAATATATTTTTGTGAGGGAATGCAAGTCACTTTCAAACGCAGTTTCTGAAAAGGAATGCATGCAAATAATATCTCAAAAGTTTCCAAATAATATCTAGAAGTTCTTTTCTCCAGGATGATTCATAGCCTCAGAACTTTTTTAATTTCAGACTTCCACAGATCAAAGTGTGCTAGACTTGGAAATGGCGACCAAATTGGGATGGTGTGCTTTCTCAATAATACAGATTCTGGGTACAATTGCAGTAATGTCACAGGTGGCATGGCAAGTGTTTGTCATCTTTATTCCAGTAACCGCAGTCTGCATATGGTATCAAGTATGAGATCCTTCTTTACGGTTTCGGTTCCTATAAAAATGTTCAAATTCATGACACAAATAAGAACAGTCTGAGATAATTTAAGTAATTAAGTTGATGTTACAATGATTGTAACTAACTAGTTGAATGATGCTTCATTCTGCAATTATACACAGCATTAGTTGCATGATATTGTAACTAATGTTCAATTCAATGATTCTAATTTCAGAGATACTATACACCAACAGCAAGAGAGCTGGCTCGCTTATCACAAATACAAATAGCTCCAATTCTGCATCATTTTGCAGAATCCTTAGCAGGAGCGGCATCAATTCGAGCTTTCGATCAGGAAGGCCGTTTTGTATATTCAAATCTTGAGCTCGTTGACAACTATTCAAAACCGTGGTTCCATAACGTTTCTGCAATGGAATGGCTTTCTTACAGATTGAATTTACTATCCAATTTTGTCTTTGCCTTCTCACTGGTTTTGCTCGTAGTCCTCCCAGAAGGAATCATCAATCCAAGTAAGTATAAATCATTGTTTTACAATTGAACTATTATATGAACAAGTTTGTAATCAGAACTGCAAGATAAGTATGTCATGTCATCATCATTTTAAAGCTTATGCAAACAATCGAGACGATGATCATTCTCAACAAGGCACTTATTTCTCTGAGGCAATAAAGGATTAACTAATGAAATGAGAAACTTCTTCTACAGGCATTGCAGGGTTGGCAGTAACTTATGGGATCAACTTGAATGTCCTACAGGCTTCAGTCATATGGAACATATGTAATGCAGAAAATAAGATGATATCTGTTGAAAGAATCATTCAATACTCAAATATCAACAGTGAAGCAGCTCTTGTGATTGAAGATTCTAGGCCATCAAACAACTGGCCTGAAACTGGAACAATATGTTTCAAAAACTTGCAGGTTAGAGATAACAAGAAGTTAGCCTAAAGATGAACATAAATACATACAAGTTCAATGTGCTCAAGTGTTGTTTTCTGATATTTCTTCTACTTATACAATCTTGTCTGACAGATACGTTATGCTGAACATCTACCATCTGTTTTGAAAAACATCGATTGCACATTCCCTGGAAGGAAGAAGATTGGTGTTGTGGGACGAACTGGGAGTGGAAAATCAACCTTAATACAAGCCATTTTCAGGATTGTTGAACCTTGGGAAGGAAGCATTATAATTGATGATTTGGATATATGCAAGATTGGTCTACATGACTTAAGGTTGAGGCTTAGCATCATTCCACAGGATCCCACAATGTTTGAAGGCACAGTTAGAGGAAACTTGGACCCACTTGAGCAATACTCTGACAAAGAAGTGTGGGAGGTGAACAGCTAAACCGAATAGTTAAACCAAGAATAGTTAGGATGCTTTTACATGCATGCATATATGCATAAATACATACATGCTACCTTTTTCTACGGGTTAACTCATTAACAAATATATTCACAATCATGAACTGCTATTCAGATTAAGCAACATGATGTTGCAAGAAGATTTTTGTTGGGTGAATTATTCAAACCACTCTTATTCCTTAAGGCTTGAATTAAATTTTGGTCAAATTACACAGATTTATTCTTTAATTTTAAACTTGCATGTATCACACTCCCTTGAGTTTTGCTTGAATTACATAGGACTCCAGCCTAGTATTTTGGAAAGTTTTTTGTATACTTTGAAAAAAGAAGGGGGATTTGTATAAATTCAAATAAACTAATCCAAGGTCAATATATTGTACTCTTTATTTCAAGGGATGATGTAGATTTAAATTCAAAAAAGAGGTCTGTGTTTTGGTTTTGAAAATAAATGAGAAGTCTACAATTTCAACCAAATTCAAGGAAAACATGCGTAATTTATTCTGTACGCGTACTGCATACTTATTCTAGAAGATAACTTAACAATCAAGAGATTCAAAATATTACTATCTTTTTTTTTTTTTAAATGTCAAGGTGATTTCTGGCATAGAAGCTTTTCCTTCCTCTAAGATTGAAACTTTTTTTTCTCTAACGTGCAAACAAATCCTTCACCTACAGGCTTTGGATAAATGTCAGCTTGGTCAGCTGGTGAGATCAAAGCAAGAGAAATTGCAGGCGTCAGGTTTGATTCATCAACTTTAAATTTTGCAATTTTTTTCAACCAATCATCTGGTACCAATCATTTCTAAAATGACTGACTGTATTATTATTACCAGTGGTTGAAAATGGAGAGAACTGGAGCGCAGGCCAAAGGCAACTATTTTGCCTTGGAAGAGCCTTACTGAAGAAGAGTAGTGTACTTGTGCTTGATGAAGCAACTGCATCAGTTGATTCTGCAACTGATGGAGTGATACAGAAGATCATCAGTCAAGAATTCAAAGACAGAACTGTTGTCACAATAGCCCATAGAATTCATACTGTTATTGACAGTGATTTGGTTTTGGTCCTGAGTGATGGTAAGTCAAACACATCATAGAGAAGTGAACACACACACATATCCATAGATACTGACCCAGTAAAATTGTGAGTAGGTTACACATATTTCTTGAGTTTTGCTCAAACCACATGGATTTCTCTTTTATTGTCAGAACCTACACTAGCTTCTTTTGAATCATAGAGTAAATTATGCAGACTCACCCCTTAGTTCTGTTACAATCACACAAAATTCTCTTCTATTTTTCGAATGTTCCCAAAGGGGTCTGTATATTTTGAGCAAAAACTAGAGGAGGTGTTTACAATTTACTCTTATCAAGGAGGGATTGTGTATGATTTGAAAATAGAAACATAACTTGTGTGACTTTAACTAAACTTGAGAGAAATCTGCGTAATTTACCTTTTGATTGTAGACCAAGTGTTTGTATATTTTGAAGATATGAGATATTTATATAGTTTATCAAAACTTAACAGAAATCCTGTATTATTTACTCTGAAATCTTTGACCAATTTTTCTGATATGCTGACAGGGAAAATTGCAGAGTTCGATGCACCGTCGAAGTTACTTGAAAGAGAAGATTCCTTCTTCTCTAAACTCATAAGGGAGTACTCAAGAAGATCTCAGAGTTTCAACAGCTTGGCCACTCAAAATGGCCAATAAATAAAATAAGTTGAAGAGTTCAAGGAATCAATCTATTGGGGTTTCAGCTTACTAGTACTTCTGTGATCATAAAGGCCACAAATAGTCACATAAAATAAAGCCAGTAATTAGTAGAGCTTTGATAATGGTCCAAAGTGAAAAAGGAAATTCTGAAGCAGCAACATATAGCTTCATTCTCTATCTGCTATAGTTATTGGGGGCTAATGTATTGGGGAATATCACAGAAGTGCTAAACCTTCACATATTCTTGTGTTGTACTTTTGATATCTATGCAGTTTAGGTTAGATGACTTGAGGTTGGTGGGTGTTATGTAGAAGCAATTCAGTTATGAAGCTTATTGGAGAAGCTATTGGGAATCTGTAAGTCATTAATAAGTTGGAGCTTTTGCATCAATGGCAATCGCAAATATTGTGAGTTCCATAGAGATAAATCTCATGTTGATTTATCTCTGTAAGCAATTCAGTTATCTCTCATTACACATAATTATTCTAAGAGCCATCCATTATCTGACATCATTAGAAGCATAAGACATTTCTCTCTTAAGGACTAGGTGATCACTTTTGATCACATGCACAGAGAAGCGAATAGAAGCACAGACCACTTAGTGCACCGGACTCCAGATGACAATTTTATTACTATGATCCATGATGTTCCTCCACAAGATTGTATAAGCCTTTTGGCTATAGACATGACTAAACCTTATTCTTTCTGCGTGGTTTATCCATAACCTTGTATTAAAAAAAAAAATTCTTTTTTGATATTGTAGAAGTATGAATTCAGGTATAAAACACCTCTTCATCTCTCTTTCTTCCTGTTTTTTTTTAAAGTTATGTTCGGTAAAAGAGAAATATTTTTGAGGGAAAGAAAAATAAAATAAAATTTGTGACATAAACTCGATTTAATATAAAATGTAAAATTTATAACAAGATATGTTATACATAAGTTATGTTTACTGTGGTTTGCCATTGACTTGTAGCAAATACACAAAAAAAAAAAAAAAGAATAGTTTAATCATGATTGTCATGATCACTTTATCCAAAGATTAAACCATAACGAGAGATGCCACATTTTCGGTACTTCTTTAAAACCACTCTCCATCTCTCTATTTCTTTATTTTTCAAAAATTGTAAGAAATAAAATAATGAGGGGTAATTTTAAAATAAGGGAAAGGGATACCAAAAAAAAAATATTTAAGGAATGAAATAATGAGAAGTTACTCTTTCTATCCCACATTATAAGATATATTTGAAAGTCATCTAATGTACCAAAATATAAAACACTTTAATAAAAATAACATTTTATTAATTATACTTGCTTCAATATTATTCTTTCTTCTGTATTATATTTTATCTCTCTGTTTAACATTTTATAAATAAGATTATATTAAATAAAAATTTATATTTTTGATTTTTTAAAAAAAGATTATAAAATTTATTAATGAGTTTTATTGATATGTATAATTCTATCTAAAATTGTCTTATAATTAAACTGCTACATAAGAGTATCTTAAAATAAAGAAAAAACTAATCTTTTAATCCTTAACTTTTAACTCACTTGTAACTCAGTTCCTCAATTATGACTCGCTGTGACTCAGTCTTTCAACTATAACTCGCTGCGACTCAGTCTCTCAACTTTTGATTTACCTATAATTCAATCCTTATTTTTAAATTTTTTTAAAAAATTTCTTATCAAATAAGAGGGACACAAAAATACTCATATTTTATTCTAAAATACCTTATCTTACTCATTGATGTAAGATATAAGCTAATATGAAAAAAAAAATTAACAAAAGTTTAGGGACTAATTTGTAAGTGATTCAAAAGTTGAGGGACTGAATCATAGATGAGTCATAGTTAAAAAACTGAGTATGATGAGTCATAGTTGAGGGATTGAGTTATAGTGAATTAAAAGTTGGAAAACTAAAAGATTAATTTTCTCTAAAATAAACTTAGTCAATGAATCATTATTTTTCTTACAATATTTTTATATTACGAGACGTTAAATTACTCTAAAACAAATATATTAAAAAATGAGGCGGAGGAAGCACAAGCATCTTCAAGTCTAGGATGAGGGAGGCCACATTTGTCCGTTCTTGATTGTGATGATGATGATTTACCATTTTTTTTATTTACAGGAACAATTGCAAATAAAAGTCGTACAGGAAAATAAAAATCTGCAGATAAAGGGTTACAATTATCTAAACTTTTTCATCATTGCTTTTAATTATTTGTAAAGTCTTCTAGCCAATAACTTTTGAAGAGATTTAGTAGATGATTCAAATCAGTCTTGAGCATCAAAATCTCTGGATCTAAATTTCTTCCATCAAAGATACTTTTAATAATCTTCGAATTGTTAAAACCAAGTGAACCAAAATCATTCAAATCACTAACCCATTTAATAGCAGATAAGTGCTCCTTTGAAGTAGATACCATGTGATAATTAACAATTAGCCACCAAGAAGTCATTATTTAAAATTTGATGTTTGTTTGGGGTTGTTAAGAGGCCAACTAATCACACACACACATATTTGCATAAACCAACTAATCATATTTAAAACTCTTCTTGTTGGTATGTCCTTTGCAATAGCAACAACACTATTGCTGATCACACCAATAATTACCCTCTAATCATTCACCATCAACCCAAAATATATACTCCCTCTAGGAGGACAAAATTGTAAAGCCCTGTTTGGTCCTAAACATACGAAAAAATACGATATTTATTTTTTTTAATATTATACCTTCTTAATTGCGCCAAGTTGAAATTACTAGAAGTCATATTGTTCAATATCTCCCAATTACAATTAGCGCATGGGGTTTAAGATTTAGATTCAGTTGATGCCTGTAATATATTGGTTTATGTTACTCCCTTCATCTATAAATACAATAGTTATTAATATGAAATATGAACCATGACTTAAGATATTATTTAAATTAAATTCTGACAAACAGAAATTGGCTGTAGTTATTACTCTGATCTAGAAAAGTTCACCTGAGATGAGACTTATAGACTTATTAGAGTGGGGGCATATTTTTGAATTCAAAAATATTTATAAAAATTCTTATATATTATCTAATCACAAAATTTTCATGAGTAATGAGATTTGATTTCATAACATGATAAATTACCCTTTCGTATGTTCATAAATGTCATGTGATTGGCATCATGAAACACATATGCATACATAAGTTTGCAAAATTATCCAGCCAATAAGTTATGTAACTTACATATAATCTCTTAAATTCTTATGGTGTTTGATAAATGAAGATTTAAATTTGAATCAAATGTTTTATTTGAATCCACAAAATTTATGAATTTAAATTTGATTTAAATTCAAATTTATTTTAAATTATAATTTCTTTATAATTTCAAATTTTTTCTATATAAAATTTTAATAACTTCAAAAATTTTTTTGTTTTCATTATTAATATCTCCACCACTTTTGTAACTTTTCTTGTCTTTTCTCAATTAAGAAAATATAAATAATTTTTTTATTTTTTCAATTTCAGTTCATCTTTCTTTTTCACTTAAATTAAACTATTTAAATAAAAAATTTTAAATACATAAATTTAAAATGTTAAATTTAAAATTCAAATTCAAATTTAAATTTAAAGCTACCTAATTTTTAAGTGCATATGATATGCCAATGAGAATATCTAAGTTTATATCATCATTTATGCGGAATTCAAAATTTAAATGAGATTATACTTACAAAATAAAATAAAATTATAAAAATATCTAACATATATTTTTTTTACACATTAGTGAAAAATTAAAAATATATAACATATATTCATTTCTTGAAATTTGAAAGTTCTAAGAAAGCAAGCTCAAAAAAGGAAAAAGAAGAAAAAGAAATAAAACTTGCTTGCATCAAAATAATTTCTATCAAACTATGTCATTAAACCCTCGAATCTAATGCAATTAAATGAGTCATACAATAATAATAATAAAAAGAAATTCTTGCGCACGCGTATATATACCTGCGAAATTTCAAAGCTATCAAAAGAGAATTCAAGCGTTTTATTGGGGTAAAACAGAGAACGAAAATGAGAATTTCTGGCAATAAAATGTTTCTGTTAAATATGTTTTCAATAGCAACACTCCTCAAGATTAGCCCATGATAAGAATTATGATGGTGCTGTGTTGTTATGTAAGAACTGAATTTTGATGCAGAATCGAAGAGAGATTACCATGCATTCTCGAATGAACCATTGATTTTGGAATGAACAACTCTGCACCTTCGAATCCCTCACGTATACAAATTTTCCAGGAAAATCAATTCATTCCGATCTCACTTTTCCCTTATCTTCTCTCCCATTTTCCTTTGACGATCCAATCTCGACTTCCTCATCATCATCTTCACAGTTCCTCAGTATATCGGCAACCAACAACAATCTTGCTTGATTCGATTCACTCCGATTTCTCTCCTCCAAATTCCCTGAAAAAGCGACTTGAATTTCCTCTTCTGAACCCTGAATCACTATCACCGTATCGTTCCTGTACTGGTGCTCCAACGCAGACACGTGCACGCTTAGTGTTCGCGAAGCTTCCTGGAACTGAGAATTCTCTCTTTGATTTGGCAAATTACCAGAAGAAGACGACGGAGAAGTGTTGGATATGACGATGTTGGATCTGCATAGAGGACAACTCGAATGCGATCTCAACCATGTATCGATACAAGGAAGATGAAACGCGTGGTTGCATTTAGGTAACAATCTCAAGCTCTCGCAATCTTGGAATTCACTGAGACACACAGAGCAATCCGTACCTTCGACTAATCCATCTCCTTTCTTGTACTTCCGGACTGTGATTGATCTGATCAGGGATTCGTCTAAGCCACCGGTGTTGGAGGAAGAAGACGAGGCTTGAATCGCCGACTCGTCATTGTCGTTCATCCATTGGTTGGCGTCGTTTTGGTGGATCCGGGTTCGTCTCGTACAGAAACGAGAGATGATGGTGTAGTAAGTGATTAAGACGAAAGCACTTGCCAAGATGCCGATAAGAGCAACTATGAGGGGAGAGAGCCGGAATGAAGAAGAGTCGTCAGCGTCATCGTCACCGGCGGTGGCGGCTACTCCGATGGCTGTGAGAGAAGGCACAGGAGGAGGTGGGTAGATGACGGAGCACCATTGAGGGCAATAAAAGCTGCAGATTCCTTGAGAGCAGTCTCGAAGTACAGCATCTGCAGGCGTCCATGGATTATTATATGGGGTGTTCAGAGAAGAAGAACCCATGATTCGAAATCAATCATCAGCTCTTAAATTGTGTGGTTCTGGATTGATCAGAAGGAGCGAGAAGAAGGGAAAGTAGGTGATGGGTGAGAGAAGAAGAGTAAAGGAAGAAGAGATTTGTTCGTCATTGAAGGAATCATTAGACGCAAAGGCATTAGTGTGGTGAGAAATCGGTGAGCTACATTACATCAATAGACTCTTCGAATCACTATTGTGTGTTGATTTGTTTATTATAAAGTTAATAAACTAATAATTATTCTCGATGACAAAGTTAATCTTTAATTTGTTGGATGTGATTTTAAGTTTTGTTGATGGAGGCAGTTTAATAGGCTCAATAATGAACTAGGCACTGTCTGTTGCTTCAGAGATAATGGCCGGTGCATTGTAGGTGAAGGTCGGTACGTTATTATTATTTTTTTTTAATAAAAAGTATTTCATCCACTTCCTATTGTAAAACTACCTTCTAATTTTTTTTATTTTTAATATAAAATATTTAGTAGGTTATTAATTATATTTTTAAATATTATTCTTGTTTAAATTTATTAATTATGATAAAGAATGTAATGAAAAATATTTCATTTAAATATAAATAAAATTAAAATTTATTATCTTTTAAAAAAATTATTAACTTAATCACATCTCTTTAATTCCGTTAGGATAGTTAGATGCGTCTTATAATAAAGATAAAAGAGGTACATTATATGGTTGACATGGGAAAATAGAAAATTGGGAGAATTTTAATTAAAGACAATTGTAGAGATTTAATTTCATATAAGTCTAAAAAATTTTAAAATTTCAATTCAATTCAATTTAGAAGAGAAAAATCGAATGAATTTCGATGATGAAAGAACCAAAATATCCTTAATTTGTTATGTAAAATTATTAATTGTTAATTTTCTTACTTCATTTATTAATTTGCGAATATAAGTTGTAAATTACATGAATTAACATTTCAATAATTATATAAGACTCTAACAAAAAAAATTATATAAAACTTCATTTCAGTTTTTCAATCATAAGTAGCAATATCAATTGTTAAATTACTAACTTTATTTGTTAATTTATTAACATTAATTGTAAATTACTGATAGGTCTTGTAATTTACTAACATTAGTTATAAATTATTGATAAGTCTTGTAATTTACAATTAATGTTTGTAAATGAACAAGTAAAGTTAGCAAATGAACAACTAATATTACTAACTATCTAATAAATAAATAAAATTTATAAATGATATTGATAAATTAATAAGTGTAGTAAAAAATTAGCAACTAATGATTTTGTGTAAGAAATAAAGGGTATTTTGCCCTTGTTATTGTCAAAATTCTTTTGACCTTTCTTTCTTGGATTGAACTAAAATTAAAAAAAAAAAAATTAGATTCACATGAAATTAAGTCTTTTTGGTGGTCCTTGACTGAAATTTTTCCTATAAATTTCACTTAAAAATCATTTTTCCTTGAAGAGAAAAGTTAATGATAGTTCTTAAAGTTATTATTTATATTTTTAAAATAAATTTTTAATGTTATGATGCTAAGGCCAGAAAAATCAAGTTATAATTTTAAAATAACAAAAAAGTTTTAATGATTCAGAATTTAGACCCAAAAAGAGAGATTGTTGGTAATGATTTTATTTTCTTAAAAAATAAGGTATTTTAACATTATATAAGTTCTTAAATCAAAAGGCTAAAAAAAAATAGTTTTCCCTACGTGAATTGGATATTTGTTTGAATCAGTAGATGGAATTGACATAAAAAAGAAGTAATTTTCACAACAAAAAGATATGTTTCCTTGTGCTAGCTAATAGACATATCATGTGTATAGGAAAAGTGTGGTTAATTATACATATTTGCTCATACTTTGTGTAAAGCATTAAAGAAATAAATAGAATTGTTAATCACTCCTAAATATTTTTATATTGATATAATTTTAATGACTCATTCCTATTATTTTAATTTTCAACTACTACTAAAGACTAATCACAATCAATGCATTGGATGATAAGTATATAAAAGTAAGCAATAATTTTACTTATAGCTAAATAAAATATCTTTCAGGATGAGAGACATGAGTAAATAAAAAATATATACCTTTCAGTTTTTAAAGTAAGAGTGACATTGGGGAGTGCAATGAGCTTAATAACACGTTGGGGAAGGGCTTCATTCACATGCTGGGTCACCTCTTCCATGTGCATCCTATTTCTAGGAGTGGGGAGCAATTGGTTTTGTAGGCTTTCAAAGGAAACCGGCTTTCCTTCAGCAAATACTCATGGAGAATCAGAGAAGTGGAATGCTGATACAAGATATCTCAACTTTACTCTTTAGATTTTCTAACATTTACTTTTTTGCATGTGACTTGAAAGTCTTGTTTACTTTTTCTTTTTCACCTGGTTCTTTGATTTTGTTTGATTTCTTTTTTTTTTTTTCTTTTTACTAGTTTCATTTTTGCTTATCCTTCAAAAAAAATATATGAATAACTATCTAATAAAAAAACATAATTATTAGTTTCTAATATCATATTTTGCTTTTGATCCTACACTTTTTTTAATAAATATTTTAGTTTTCTCTAGGTTTTTTGTATGTAATATTAATTTCTTTATTTTAAATACTTTTATAGGGACAATGATGTAATACTAAGTGTCATAGTTTGAAAACCCGGACTGGACCAGCCAGGTCAACCTGGAACCTGGTCTCTTCTCCGATCTGAGTTTATGACTAAACTAGTGTGAGACTGATCTGGTTTAACCCGATCAACCAGGTTCAACCCAGTATGACCCGGCCAACCCGATGGATTGACTGAGTTAACCAGATTGATTTTTTTTTAGGCTAAACCCCCAAAATGACTTCGTTTTGGGGGCTTTTTTTTTCAAGCCCTGCCTTGAAGAAATGAAATGACCATGATGAATATTAGTTTTAGACTTTTAGACTTTTTAATGATTAAAGGTTGTAATTGTAAGGAATTAAGGATTGATATTTGAAGTATTGTATTTTATTATTGTTAGACTTTTGAGTGGTTGGATTTGATTGACTTTTTTATAATTAATATCTTTTTATTTAAATTATATTATTTTAATCATGACCGATTTGTCACCGGTTCAACCTCCAATTGAACCACTAACTCGTGATTCAGTGTTATGACCGGTTCAATAACCGATCCTATTTTACGTACCTTGCTAACTGTAATGAATATCTAATGTGTAATTAATGATGCTAAAGGAGATGTTGATATGTTTAAATCAAAATGAATTGATGATCACTTTCCAATAAATCTGGCATTGACGTTTGTCACCCTCAAAAAGTGATATTCTAGTTATTGCAAGTTAAGCCCTTTACTTTTATGTGTCAAATGCCCTAATCAATTTTTTAGCCAAGTTAAATGACATGAAGGTTTTGTGTTGTTGCTTTTTATTATTTGTTTCTCCTATTTGCTGGTTAGATGGTTTTGAAAATTTTTCCAAGAGGAAGATGAATTAAGCTTTATAAAAAGTTGACTAATAATAATAAAATTATGGAAATGAGTTTAGAAGGATATTACTAAACACAATGAAGAGAAAGAAAGAAAAGCTTGCACTGATATTTATCCTGATTTAGTTTCATATACTTGAGCTTACATCCAATCCTAAAGCACCATTTCAGATTTTCTTCACCAATTCCACTAAGATCATCCAAACTATTGGTAGCCTCAATATAATCTCAGACTTATACTAAAGTCTAAATCACTTTTCCTTATAAAGGTAATGATATATTCTCTTAAGCTTTTCGAGGTTAAAATCCTCTATTTCAAGTTAGAGAAATAAAGATAAAAAGAATAAGTTTAAGAATAAACTACTATTGTCTAAAACTCTCTAAGAGTTGATATATAATCAATGAAGCTCTTGCATAATGAATATAAAATCAAAAAGTTAGTAAATAATAAATAAGTATAACTCGAGTTCATTCGTGTGCTTTATCTTTCTACCCTCTTCATAAATGCTTGTATTTATAGTTAAGTTTCATAAATGATCCGTTACACTTAAGAATATAGCCATTAGAGTCATTGTCTTTTTTACTCTGAGTTCTTTGAGCATTCTTCAAAACAAGGCAATGTGACATGCTTTATGATGGAGCTTTCTCTCACATGACAAGTAAGGAAAGTGATGGCTCTTTACATCAAATGTTTTGACAAGATAAGTGAAAAGCCTTTTTGAAATATCAATACTATTTGGGAATAAGAATTTTATGAATAACATCAAAATAAGGTCAATTTATCCAAAAAAATGTATTTAGAATGATTCTAGAGAGATTATATAACACATGTTACTTTTAGAAGATAAGATAAAAAGGATTGAGAGAGTTTCTAATAATCCTTGTTTTGAACGAGAGAAACAGACCATTGCATATTAGGCTTATTTTGAAACAAGAGAAGCTATTTCAAAATAGTGAAGAACATGATGCCGAGAAGTAACCAGACTTATTTTGAAGTATAACATTTATATCGGAAGAGAATTATGTAAGCATTAGTCTAAAATTCTTTATTTGGGAAAAGAAAAGCTATTCCCAAATAAGTTATTCCTAATTAGAAAAATTTGAAATGTCGCATCGTGAAATAGTTTTGAAGAAATGAACACTATTCTTGAAGAAACACAACTATTCTCAAATAAACTATTGAATAAGATATTTTGGAATGATATAACGAGAATGGCTTTGGAAGAAGATAGATACTATTTTGAAACTAGGATGACTATTCTCAAATAAGTTATTTCTGAATAGGAAAGAGAATTGATACTTGGAATAAGGAATTCACACAAGAATAAGCTATTTTAGAATAAATAAGCTATTCTGAAATAAGGACCTCAGCATAGAAAAGTTACAAAGGTTTTTATATTTTGAACTTTTGATTTTAAAATCACTTGAGATTGAGATATCTTTCAAGTAATATAAAATGTCCTTGAGGAATTAAGATCAAGTCAATTACTTAATCTTTAGAAAGAAACACAATATGAATAGAAATGAGAATTGATTGAGTGTTTCTTGGCTATTTGGGAATAAAACACATATTTGGAAATAAGAATATTTATATGGGAATAAGACTCGATAATTAAAATTTTAAAGTAAAAATAACTAATTCCTTTACAAGTCATTAATTCTTAAATTTTAAACATATAAAAAATAAACTTGTTTTATTTTGTAATCATCAAAATCAAGATTCAATAGATTTATCTTATCCTTTTCTTAATAT